CGATCATCCAGCTATGATACAATGATATGAGTTATTAGGGATGTCACCTACTGTAGGTTAGTGAGTTTTGAGGTGACTAAAAGAGGCCGATACGGGACCGGCAGGGCCGTCCACAGATGTTACACACGTGGAGGGCTACATCTAGTGCAGGAGGGGCGGCGGGAGGGGCGGCGGCAGCGTCTTTCCGGCGCTGGCGCTTGTCTGCCTCGGTTTGCAGTCGGGCAAACTCGAAATATTGACATCATCTTGTGTGGTGTTCCTCCAAGCGTTACGATGTGGAGCAAATGACTCCCTGGTGGGGGGGTCGATTTGGCACTTATTCAGGTTTGTCTTAAAACAATCCTTATACGTTTTCAGTTCCCTGCCAGGGTTACGTTTACTATTTGTGAGGTGACTGTAAAGCAGCTGCTTTGGCAGTCTACTGTCGTCTTTGCTGGTAACATGGCCAGTCCAACATAGTTGTTCATGGATAATGGTAGCCTCGATGCTCCTATAGTTGGTGTCAGCGAGAATACGGGCATTTGTTCTCTTGTCTTAACGAACTCGGAAGATGGATCGTAGACTACATTGGTGAAAGTTGGAGTGCCGTGAGGTGCCCCCTGTATGTGACCCTTGTCTCGCTGCCATATAGCAGGGTGGGGAGGACCACTGCTCGATATTCGTGCAACTTTGTGGACAATTTCAGCTCCCTGCAGCTGAAGACACGGGTACAGAATCTGCCAAAGGCTTGAGATGCACATCTGATCCGATGTGGAAACTCTTCGTCGATGTCCGCGGTGGTGGACAGGTGGGAGCCGAGATACCGAAAGTGGGTAACATTAGAGAGGGTAGTTCCGTTGAGATGGATGGATGGTGGAGGTGTGGCTGAGCCAGGGGCAGGCTGAAAGATAATCTGAGTCTTACATGCATTCACCTCAAGACCAAATTGTGCATATGCATATGCAAAGGTGTTCAGGATCTTCTGTAGGTCGTGTTCAGTGTGAGCAACAAGAGTGAGGTCGTCTGCATACTGAAGTTCAGTAATGGAAGCTGCCGACACCTTTGTTCCTACCTGAAGTCGTCTTATGTTGAAAAGACCCTTCATCCGGTACTGGATGTCCACCCCACTGACTAAATTGGCACTGGCATGAGTAAGGAAGGCAGCCAAGAAAATGGAAAAGAGAGAGTTGGTGCTAATACACAGCCTTGTTTTACCCCTGTTTGGATGGGGAAGAACTTACTGTAGACTGGGTGCTGTTGTGCAGGACACTGCCGTTCATGCCACCGTGGAGTTGCCTCACAATGGCGATGAATTTTGGTGGCCAAAACGGCTGAGCGGGCTTTCCTGTTGACCGAGTCGAAGGCCTTGGTTAAGTCGATGAAGGCCATGTATAGGTCACGAGGCTGTTCTCTGCACTTTTCCTGTATCTGGCGGGCAGCAAAGATTATGTCAGTGGTGCCACGTGATGGTCTAAAGCGCATTGAGATTCTGGGAGGAAGTTTTCCGCCTCAGGAAGAAGTCTGTTCATGAGGACTCGGGGGATAATCTTGCCAGCTACGGACAGCAGCGAGATCCAGCCGAAGTTGCCACAGGAGAGAGTGGAGACGGCTGATATGCAGAGGTCTTCCTGCTTTATACACCTCGGCTGGGATTCCATCAGGCCCTGAGGCTTTGTTATTTTTCATCTGTTTGATGGCAGTAGCTACCTCATTCAGGGATGGATGATAGCTGAGATGGGTCAGCTCTGGATGCTGATGGACCTGCTGGGTAGTCAGGTAGTCAGGACATCCACATCGGTGTTTCGGTTGAGCAGCAACTGGTAGTGTTTTCTCCAGCACTGAAGGATGCATTCTTCGTCTTTAATTAGAGAGTTACTGTCGGATTAGCGGAGGGGGGCTGCACCATGAGTGATTAGCCCATAAAATATTTTAGAGGAATTGAAAAATTCGTGCATCTTGTGTTGATCTGCTTGTCTTTGCGTTTCACATGCTTCCTTTTTTTAAACCAGATGTTCTTTAGTTTGCGAAGTTCGCGCTGGGCTGCCACTTTCTTCTTGTGGAAGGTATGAGCTTTGGTCCGAGACTGAGGGTTGTTCTCCCAGTCATTGATTTCCGGGTTATTTTCATCAAACCAGTCCGGGTTTATTCTTTCGATCTGGCCGAGGGTCTTTCTGCAGGTTTTTGTCATGACAGTTTCGAGAATACCCCTTTCGGCACTGGGATTTCGATAATTTGTTGTCGGGTTATTTATCAGTCCATGTTCGAGCTGCTCTCTGAAAGCATGCGCTACCACTGGATCCTCCAGACGCTTAGTGTTAAAACCTCTTCTGGAGGCTTGTTGCCTTCGCCGTTTTGGGTCGACGTGAAGTGAATGCTTGGCTCTGACGATCAGATGATTAGTGTCACAGTGGTCTGAGCCACGCAATGCTCGGGTGATGAGGACATCTCGGCGACCTCTTTCTCTAACAATGATGTAGTCAATGAGATCCCAGTGTAGGATCGTGATTGTTGCCACGAACCCTTGAACTAGTCGGCCTGCCGAAACAAGGTGTTGGTGATAGTGAGGTTGTGTGCAACACATATGCTAAGGAGGAGTAGGCCGATGGGATTACACTTGCCTAGTCCATTTCTCCCTTTGATCCCCTGCCAAATGTCAGCATCAATGCCAACTCTGGCATTAAAGTCACCAAGGAGCACAACCTTATCTTCTTTGGGGATAGAGATTAACACTCTGTCAAGGTTGGCGTAAAAGGCCTCCTTGATGTCATCCTCTGCATCCAGTGTTGGGGCGTATGCACTGATGAAAAAGGCATGACGTGAGTGATTCAGTGGGACTCTGAGCGTCATGAGGGGCTCGTTGATCCCAACAGGCATTTCAGTTAGCCTGTGTAGGGTGTGTTGGCGGATGGCAAAGCCAACTCAATAAATACGGTTTCTCTCCACAGCAGGCTTACCCTTCCAGAAGAAGGTACAGCCAGACCCCCGTTCTGTGAGTCGACCCTCGTCTGGGAGCCGGGACTCACCAATGGCTGCTATGTCGGTGTTATACCTAGCCAACTCTTTTGCCACAAGGGCGGTTCTTTCAGGATGCTCATTTGTGCCAGTATCCAGAAGGGTCCTGACATTCCATGCAGCGACCATAAGAGGTTGTATAGTTTGTTTTTGTTTGGATCTGTGATTACGATTGTGTTTTCGACTACATAAGGATGACCTTACTGGGTGCGGTTGTCCAGTCAGGTTGGTTCTTTAGGTAGGTTATGTTTAGGGTACCCTTTCTAGCCCCCTCCCAATGTGGGGTGAGCAGAGTGGCTCCCCGAAAGGGCTGCTCAGTCACACAGACAGGACCGAATTTCACTGCTGCCTAGATTCCAGTGCGTAAACGACCATCTTGTCTATGCCGTCCATGTGCAGAGTTGTGCCTAGAGACTTCCGGCAGTCATCTCTTCCTGTCTCTGTCGCCACTCATCCATCGCCAAAGGACTTTTGGTGGTATAGGGGTTTGATGGTGAGGAGGAGTAAGATGAGCTGGATGATGGCTGTGCATGAGTTGATTTATGTGGTGAGGCAGGAGCGTAGGCTGCAACCACACATCTTGGCTCTCCCTTTTCCTGATCCAGTGGTGCAAGTATTGCAACGACTGGGGAGAGGGAGAGTTGCAATAGACTGCCGATAGCTCAGTGTGTTGGGTTTCGCCTTAGTAGCCTGTCCATCATGCATTGTCGTCGTCCGCCGGTGTAGCTGTTGGGTTCCCATGTTGGTCACCTCTTCCGCCTACACCGCCGTTGGGGTCTTGTTGGAGCTCTGTAAGCATGTCTGCCTGATGCGGGGCTCCACCGCAGATTATTCATTCGGAGTTTACTCCCGTAGCCTTATGCCTACCAAGGTTAATCCACAAGGCAGCGGGGCAGTGGTTGGTAGGCGCCAGGGCGTGTCCACAGGCCAGTGGGCCTATGCACCGTCCCTCTGGGGCCCACTGCTACTACGAGATCCTCTGCTGGTCTAGCCCACTAGGCACCCAGTTACCGTGTGTTGCCTCGAGGAGGCACAGCAGGAGTCTTGATGGTGAGGAGGCTGTGTACTGGCAGGGGAAGACTTATGCAAGTTGCTTCCCTGTTCGCCACGAGGGCTAGCCAGCGGCGGCAGCTGAAAGCGAGAGGAAGCAAGCAGTGCTTGCACCTTAACACTAACATAATGCTGCCACACTAGACGCATTATATCACCCTGTGTGTGTGTGTGTGTGTGTGTGTGTGTGTGTGTGTGTAGATCACTATAAACAAACTTATAGTGATCTACACACACACACATTACACAGGCACAGGCAGAGGTTAACTCTCACGCGTTTTTATATTTAGCCGATGTTTTGGCACCGTCTTCATCTCAGTATTAGTAAATAAACACGGTGTGTTGAAGATGTTGAATGTTGACCCCAATACCTTGACCTATTTATGTCTCGTAGAAGGTACAGTAGTGAGAGTGAAGGACTACATGTTGTTCACTCCACCAAGAATGTTCCTTAGCAAACGTGTAACAACTGACCTATATGATGAACGCCTTTTGCCTCGCTGAAGAGAATGAAGTGTAAGATCCAATTGTTTATATGTAATGACCATATGGGTGTTATAGATGACAAAATTTATTATTTTCATAATTTTTGTATATATTTTCTTGACTGTCTTTTCTCTTGGTTCAGGATGTAATAAGGATGAGGTTGAGATACTTGTGTGTTAGAGTTATCTGCCGTTCATTATGTGTCTAGGTTAAAGATTCAACAAGAGAGTGACCTTTCTGTGGTGTCATGTTTATGTTTCTCACAATTTAGAGTTAAACTAATCATGTATTGGTGGAAGTTGTGTGTCATCGTGACCTTATCGTATCTTGAGGCGTTAATAAAAAGTGGTTAGTAAATACATTTTAATAGACCTAAATGACCGGGAAACTATAATCGTGATTCTTCTTTTTATGGAGGAATCAAGCCTTTAATGAGGAAGAACACAAGACGTTACCATTGGTGACTAGGACAGGGTGATGCTTATCCTATAAATGCCTAACTCACTGTTCCTCGCTACCACAACATCACGGGTCTTCCACCAGTGTACTGCTGCCTCATCAGCCATGGTTAGTGTCTCATCTCTTATTGGAGTTATGTCTGAAAACTAGAATCATATATTTTATTTAAATTTCTCTGAACATTTCTGTGATGAAAGGATTACAGTATGATTGTGTTAATCTATATCGTTTTATCTACTTTACCCATAATCATTTAGAGAACCTTCGTGACGAACACTTTCTCCCCAATACATCTTCAGTGTCTCCTCCAGCCAGCTCCTCTCACATGCTCTAAACTTGTTGTTGTTTTCTGTGTGTCTACAAGTCTTCCCTCAACTGTCTCACACTGACCACCTGACATACTCCACCTCATGTCTCCCTCATCCCCACACCTCCTCTGTCACGCATACAGTAACTCCAACCATTTCCTTTTACTATAACAAATTAGTCGTTCGTGTTCTTTTTCCCGTGATTCTCTTATTCCTTCATTCACTTCTTTATATGTTCATTATATCTCTTTATCTTTCAAGTTAAATAATTAATTACTTTCCGTCATCTTCATTGTATTCTTCTCCTGTTGTTCACTAAGAAGTTGTCACAAGGTGGACCAACAGACCTCCAGCTGCCTCGACTGATAAACTGACTCAGGTTCTTTGTTACAGAGAGTCGTGTTGTTTTTCTTCCTGCTGGTGTCAGCCGTCGCCGCTGCAGGGTTAAACGATGACAAACTGTATGGGGATGATGGCATTGTAGCACTTAGTGGACACACCCCAGTAGGTGGTCACGGTCCCGGGCACAGCATTACCCCCTACCATGGAGTTGATCACGGTCCCGGGCACAGCATTACCCCCTACCATGGAGATGATAACGGTCCCGGGCACAGCATTACCCCCTACCATGGAGATGATCACGGTCCCGGGCACAGCATTACCCCCTACCATGGAGATGATAACGGTCCCGGGCACAGCATTACCCCCTACCATGGAGATGATCACGGTCCTGGCCACAGCATTAAACCCTTCCATGGAGATGATGACGGTCCTGGCCACAGCATTAAACCCTTCCATGGAGATGATCACGGTCCTGGCCACAGCATTAAACCCTACCATGGAGTTGATCACGGTCCTGGTACAGCATTAAACCCTTCCATGGAGATGATCACGGTCCTGGCCACAGCATTAAACCCTTCCATGGAGATGATCACGGTCCTGGCCACAGATTACCCCCTCTCCATGGAGATGATCACCACGGTCCTGGCCACAGCATTAAACCCTACCATGGAGTTGATCACGGTCCTGGCCACAGCATTAAACCCTTCCATGGAGATGATCACCACGGTCCTAGCCACAGCATTAGACCCTACCATGGAGATGATCACCACGGTCCTAGCCACAGCATTAGCACCCTACCATGGAGATGATCACCACGGTCCTAGCCACAGCATTAGACCCTACCATGGAGATGATCACCACGGTCCTAGCCACAGCATTAGACCCTACCATGGAGATGATCACCACGGTCCTAGCCACAGCATTAGACCCTACCATGGAGATGATCACCACGGTCCTGGCCACAGCATTAGACCTTACCATGGAGATGATCACCACGGTCCTGGCCACAGCATTAGACCTTACCATGGAGATGATCACCACGGTCCTGGCCACAGCATTAGACCTTACCATGGAGATGATCACCACGGTCCTGGCCACAGCAAAGGACACTCCCGTGGAGATGACTTCGAACACGGTAAAACTAGAGGTTACGACAGAAATCGTGGTCACCTCTCTGTACACCACCGAGACAGTGGTGAAGTGTTTGGTCTCAGTTTCTCGCCTCCCGGGAGCAAATTCGGCGGCCTGAAAAACATCAAGTCTGGCATCCTCCGCGAGGTCTCCAAGGCGGTAAAGGGCATTAAGCTAGGACTGGTTCACAAAATCCGTGAGTACTGAATGTCTTGACTTCTACCTTACCATCTTGTGAGACTTAACTCCTCTTATCTTTTTTATATCTGGTTAATTTGTTTACACGTACAGTCGGCCACAAGAATAAGCATACACCTACGGTTCGTGTTTGAGACAAAATATCTGGTAACACTGTCCTGAACAGAACAGACAAAATTACAAAATGACCTGTAATTTATGTTTTATTCCTACATATATGTTATAAATACATTTGTTGTGAATGTTTTACTTGTGTCTAGTGTTTATATTACAAGTAATATATTGTATCAATGGTAGTAAACTTGTTGCCGAGTGGGATTGCAGTTATCGTACAGCTCCCTCCTCCTCCCCCACTTTTTCTCTTACCCTACTTTTTTTTAAGTGATGTTTGAATTAGTAAAGGAAGGATAAGGAAGTAAATAAAAGAATAAAGAAGGGGAAACACAGATAACAGGTGGGAGGAGCTGAGTTTCATCATGCGTCTGGATGCGCAGTTTCAACGTTACCAGATCATTTTCGGACCTTACAGCTACAGTGTGTGTACTTATTCCTGTGGCTGACTGTACCTAATCACTGTACTTCCGTGTGTGTGTGTGTGATTACTATTGCTAAAAGATAATGAAACTCTAATTGAATGACTGACATCTTTTTTTGTTGTTGCCCCTTACAGTTAGTAAAGATCTGTGAGTTGGTGGTTGGCGTCTCCAGTCATATCTGAAGTCACGGAGACATCATCTATAGTCACGGAGACATCACCTATAATCCCGGAAACATCATCTATAACCTCATCGACTTTTCATCTCAAGAAATACACTTCATCATAAAACCTCGATATTACGGACTCTCCTTTCTCATTATAGTCCGTTAATTGGAGGTTTCACATCTTACGGATCTTCATATAACGAACTGACCTCTCTAAAATACTCTGTTATATAAAGGCTTTACGATAGGTAAAAGCTTTGTTACCTGGACAGTTCCTTGTAATTCACGACTTTTTTATGATGTGTTTATAATATGTGAGACAAGTTCAGTATTAAGTGTCTATTAATCTTTGTTGTGTGTTTTCATCTATTTGCTTCATTAGAGTAATTGAGACACAACTAATTTCATTTTATTTTGGTATTTTTTCTCTTTTGTAAATATTTGTTTCATCATTATGTCACCTGATCATAAATTGTTATCTTTTTTTACTCTCAATATTTTTTTTTCATTTGGTTTTATTATTTCATTTAATTTTTTACTTTTTTTACTTTACTGAACTTAAGTGTATTGTGTATAATAAACACTTAAATAATATCCTGGTGATGTTTTATATATATCATGTTACTCTTAACCCCTTGAGTTTGAGTTATCCCCTTTGATTACGATGAGTTAACCCCTTGATTACGATGAGTTATCCCCTTGATTACGATGAGTTAACCCCTTGATTACGATGAGTTAACCCCTTGATTACGATGAGTTAACCCCTTGATTACGATGAGTTATCCCCTTGATTACGATGAGTTAACCCCTTGATTACTGTTACCGCAAGCTGTACATAATTATGATGACATATAAACAAACGTTATGTTAGGCTGTAACTCATGTCATGTGCCTGCCCGTATACAGTATATAGTGTTGAGATGGAGGCAGATGAGAGACCTAGAGTAGGTTGAGGTGTTGGGTGGTGGGAGGTGAGCTTGCTTGTGTATAATACGCCTGACACAGCGAGTTTGAAGTGGCCAACTTGATCATATGGTGCCCAGCCGGGCACCGTCAGCCTCACTTTAGCTATCCCCATCACACCACCAACACCTAACCTGTTTCTCCTGAAGACTTTCAACACGTAAGTTTAACTTGTATTTATTGTGTACACAGGTAGACTGTGTCCATTGCATCGCTTATCATTGTGATGACATAAAAATATGGCAAATCAAGTACTCTTTGTATGTGTTAAGATTAAACTAATTACATAGCTATGATTGTTATGTAAATATATTTATTGGATTAGACATTTATGTGATGGCCTATGTATGACTTATGTGAAATACTAAAATGAATTGTATTCAACAGGTTTGATCAAATTATTATGTTTGAGTCCAACGTCACAAGTTTCACTAAATCCTTTAATCGCCTGATTGGAGGTTACAATTACGATGAGTTATCCCCTTGATTACGATGAGTTAACCCCTTGAGTACAATGAGTTATTCCCTTGATTGCGATGAGTTAACCCCTTGATTACGATGAGTTATCCCCTTGGTTACAATGAGTTAACCCCTTGGGTACAATACATTGAGTTATCCCCTTGAGGATAATACTTTAATCCCTTGAGTATAACGAGTTAACCCCTTGAGTACGATACCTTAACCCCATGAGTACAATGACTTGAGTAGAACAATTATCATGAACTGAAGTTAAAACCACCATAACATTTCCGGTACACTCGTGAAAGAAATCCATTCATTAATTATAACTAAACTGTATCCATCAACTGGCATTATCATACGGTCATGTAACATCAACCACAATCATCAACCCATACTTACTGAGGGTTTAACCTAACCTAACCTAACCTAACCTAACCTAACCTAACCTCAACTTCCGTTTGGGAAACTTTACCAAGGTGAAGTTTTTATGCTTCAGGTAAACAAAAAACCTTAAACAAAAATTGCAGTTTCTTATGTCTTTTGTTTCATCCTTGAAGGCGGGAAAAACGAAGACAAGAAGAAGGATATTGGGGTAGAAGGGGAGGAGGGTTGAAGGAGGGAGGGAGGGGGTGAAGGAAGGAGGGGGTGAAGGAAGGAGGGGGTGAAGAGAGGCTTTGGGGGTGAGAAAGGAGAAGGTTGGGAGGGGTGGTGGGTGGGGGATGGAATGGAGGAGAGGAGGGAGAGGGAAGGCAGGGGAGGGAAGGAGTGAGAGGTTAGTGAGTAGGCTGAGGGTAAGATACCTATATAATGCCCGGGATAAACACATTGACCAACACAACACCCAACGCCCCCTCAACCATGGTAGGTTCCTCTGAGATGAATATTCTAAGTTCACAATATAATTTTCTCTTCCTGAATCTGTAATAAAATCTACGTATGTTATTGATATTGAAACAGTTAATTTAACCAGGAAAATACAGATACAAAGTGTGGGGAATAAGAACAATGTTGGTCTCTTTATGTATATGTATTAACTGTATGGGATTCCCTGACAGTAGAATGTTTTATCTAATGTCATATTATAACTTTGATGGATAAATAAGACAACGATGCTTTGTATAATCTCTCCTAGATTTTATATATTTATTTATTTTTTTCTTAAGGTGAGTTACTAAGCTTGGGGTGATCTTCAGATGAGAGATTCCTTCATGGTAACATACTACCTCCACACACGTTTAGTGACAGTGTCCTTACATCTGATTCTCGGCCTTGTTACATTCTTTAAGGTCGTATTGTGCTCATAAATATCTACATGATTTCCTTCAGCATCCACATAATGTTTACCTGACGCACCAACACCTAACATACAGTGCATAACACCCCACCTTAGTCACCCTCACTTATTAAAATCAAAATATAATTAATTCTTAAGTATTCACCACTAATATCAACATTCCTTTCCTTATAATTTATTTAGTTTATCCTATTTTATTCCCCGTTCCTTCGGTTCTTCTGTTCAGTGTCAAGGTTCTCTAAGTAACTGTCGCCTGTGTTGTCAAGTTCTTCAGTCTATCGTTCCTGGGACACTGACTTAGTTGTGTGTTATACAGTATCGTCTCCTGGTAACGCTGGTCTTCTCTGCCATGGTCGTCGACGCCTTGGAGTTTGGAAGAGACGATGGGAATGTTAAGAATGACAACCAGAATTTTGGATTACCTAATAGCAACCCAGGGAACGATGGCAACAAGTTTGGACTCTTTGGTGGCAACCCAGGGAACGATGGCAACAAGTTTGGACTCTTTGGTGGTAACTCTAATAATAATCCTCACCTGTCTGGCTTATCTAATTTCTTGAAGAAGCTGAAATTAAGACTCGTTCTCGCACTCCGTAAGTACAAAACGAGATATAAATATACCTGCGCCTCAGTGAACACACACACACACACACACACACACTCATCCTGCCTTCATTTACTATCATTTATTCATCATTATTACTGTAAAAGATATGTTCTGTTAGGTCACTCCCCATTCACGACAACACTCCTCCATCTCTGCTTTACTTCTGTTACTCCACACAAGTCAGCATCACCCACCAGTTACTCGTTCTTACCGACAAAATCACCGGACACTTTGCTTTCCCACTCATTCACGCACACCGCTGCTTCCTCATTTCCACCACCCCTCATTTCCAACTCATATTTCACCCCATCCTTCCAACTTCTCTGTATGAACGTGAGTGTGTGTTTATAGTCAAGATTAATATTGGCTTTATTGTTTCTGTTTTTAGTCTTTCTACTTTCATTATCGAAGTTTGTGATAGAGAGAATGTGGTTTTTCCCATCTATGTCACACAGAACTGGTGTTAAGTGCCAATTATCATGAAGAATTAATATACAACTCTACACAAGATAAAAAAACTTTGGCTTATGGATATTTAGTAACTTTTTCTCTCTGTTTCTGCTTCTTCAGTCAATAAGGAAAACTGAAATGCTTGAGTGGAGGAACGGTAATGACCCAGAGGAGGAAAGGCGGAGTGTGCAGCTACTTGATGGAGGCTACTGCTGGTGGTCACAGAAACGTCAACAATGTCTTCTAATTTTTCTTTTAATCTTCAACAATAAAATAAAGCATCATAAATAACCACCATCTTTCCAATTCTCCTTTACGTTTCACCTGGTTTATGGAGGTGAGTGATGGGTGATTTTTTTTTACGTAAATCACGACTAAGAATGTTATCTGTGTTTATAACTGAAAAGATTAATTAAATACAAAGTTTACATAGTTTCTGTTGTGTTTGATTATTTGGTTTCATGAGTAAATAGTTATAAATATGTTAGGTTAGGTTAGGTTAGGTTCGGTTCGGTAATCATCACGTGAATGAAGGGCATTAAGAGTAAGTTGGGGAGAGAGGAACAGTGTGTGTGTGTGTGTGTGTGTGAGGTATTAGTTTTACAACATTAAGATGGTTACAAATTAATCACCAAAATGACATAAAAATTGCATTGAGACTCTACCTTGATTAGTACCAAATAGAGGGTAATGAGGTGCGGTGGTCAAGTGGATACAGCTTTCACTTTATAACGTTCGGGTTGTTGGTTCGTGCTCCGAGCAACTCCACTTTACTCAGCCTTGATTGAACACTTGTCTTAACAGTTGACGAAAGTGAAGGCGATCAAGTTCAGTGCCAGCCAAACTTTCTCCTTGTGTACCGGAATTACTTAAATCCTGTTTCAATTAAAATCATTGTTTTGTTTTTTTAACTCCACTAAATTATTCGTTTTTTTTATATCTTCATGGCTGTTATCTTACAAGAACAACTTTTTTATGTTCAGCGGAAATTTCTACTAATGAGACACAGGATAGTAAACATGTTGTCTTAATTCAAGTTTTTGTTAGCCAGAATGTTATCCATTTTTTTTATTTCATATTGTTAACTTTTCTCAATGTCGCTCTCTTGAAGGTTTATATCTTACAAGAGTTTAATATATCAGGAAAAAATGTTCGATTTGTGTGTCATGAAATTATTGTTTTTTTTATTCTGCCTTTTTATATATTTTTTTTATTTTAGAGTAAATTATATCGATGAAAGGGGAGGGAAGGAGGGAGGGAGGGAAGGAAGGGAAAAAGGAGGGATGAAGGAAGAAGGAATGAAGGGAGGGAGGAAGAGAGGGAAAGAGAGAAGGAAGGAGAGAAGGGAGAGAGGGAGGATCTTCAAGGGCTGCACTACTCTACAGAGTATAAGGTGTTAAGTAAGAATTACTCCTCCTCATCCTCCTCTTCCTTCTTCCTGCTCCTCCTCTTCAGCTAACTTTCCTTCCTCCCCTTTCTCTTCCCTTACCTTATCTTCCTGTTCCTCCTCCTCTACCACTACTATCACCACCACTAGTACCTCCACCAACCAGTTTCTTAAAATCAACATCGAAGAACAAAAACCAGACTCATAACAAATTCTCTCTTCACATTTTCCTCCACGTGGAAGCAATATTTGTTTTCTTCTCTAATTTCAAGAAAAAACCTCCAAAGCTTCACGTCATCACCAGGAGAGAGGAATTTAGGTCATTTTTTTTTGGGACAAACTCAAAAAACAAATGATGTTTGGTTAGTCTTTGAGAGAAAATTCAGGTCAACTTTTTTATGTTGAAATTAAAGAAAAAAAAAGAAATAAAACTTGTTGATTTATTAGTACTGAAGGTTAGGTTAAGGAGGAAGGCGCCAGTGTGTGTGTGTGTGTGTGTGTGTGTGTGTGTGTGTGTGTGTGTGTGTGTCAGTAGGTCTCCTTGACGTACTGTATAATATGTGGTGGTAATGAGTGACGTATTATTCCCTTTCAATACGTGATGGGGGGGGGAGGTATTAACCAAGATATTGTGTGTCTGTCTGTCTGTCTGTCTGTCTGTCTGCTAGATTGAGATTAAACTTCTTTTATTGAGTCTTTAATACAAAGTTTATGAATAAATAACAATCTGTTGTAGTGTTGTGATGGTTGTCATAATTTCTTTCCACTACACAACTCCTCAAATTTTAACAGAACATTTTTAATACTACAATATACAACAGTTATTAAATAAGAAGGTTGTGAGTGAGGCTGCTTCCTTAACAGTGAGGACGGGACTAGTGCAGGTAGTCTTACATACACTTCCTCTCTACAACACAACACCTTCACTACACTACCTTACCTGTACTTTATATTTAAATCTGCAATGGAATTTTTATTAAGGATAAAGATTCTGATTTTGTATGTAATATTTTTAATTCACTTAATATTAATAATACATGTAATATATCCTAAACACTTCTTACTTACTCTCTTAAAAATTGTCTGACGTTGTGTACAAAATATCAAAGTAATGCTATTAATCAGGCATGGGCAACCTTTCCTCAGTCATGGGCCGCATTAAGATTTAGGTATTTTTCTGTGGGCCAACCCACCAATATTTATATCCTACCTAACCCAAAAGTAATGTTAATACTGTGTTAGCACGGACAGTGAAGCAGTTTATCATCACGTCCACCTTACCATATTTTCAGTTTACAATTAGCCATTTTCCCATTTATGAAATAAATCCATCATAATAATTTTTAAAGTAATATGTTAATGTTTCTTGGCATTTAACACAAGATGAGTGAAGCAGTCTGTGAATACAATGATTTTTCCTACAGTTACAGCATTTTTTTCTTATGTATGAGACACACCCACCAGAATAATGTCAATGTAAACCTTGACGCTGAGGAACTATATTGAAACAACCTCTATATATATATATATATATATATATATATATATATATATATATATATATATATATATATATATATATATATATATATATATATATATATATATATATATATATATATAATCAGGGGGCGGATCCATTAATATCAAAGGGGAGGGGAGAAGTTGTGGGTGGGGGAACATGGCGAGCACAGCGAGCCTACCCAGATGGGGGGTGGGGGGGGGCGGCGCTGTAATCCCCCTCTGAAATTTTTTGAAATCTAACCAATATCATGGACATTTGAGACCATTTGAAGTCATGTGCGCTTGAAAATAGGAGATATTTTGAGGTCAATAGTAATTACTTTTTACAATACACAAATGCCTGAATGTAATAGTGTACTGCATTAACGAAAAAGTATTGTAATTTTCTGATCAAAGGAGGAGGTAATCAGACAAGAATAAATAGATAGATCAGACAGCCAGGCATGTCGACGCACACGCCATCACACTCAATATTGTCAATGCCTATGTGCCTCCCTCCACCCCTACTGTACCTGCCCCACCACACCATATCGCCTCCACCCCTACTGTACCTGCCCCACCACACCATATCGCCTCCACCCCTACTGTACTTCGCCACGCCTAGTACATTGACAACCCTGAGCCTCACCGCACTGTTTGTAAACTTTGTGGTCAACCCGACTCTCACACCCTCTCTCACTACATCCTCACTTGCCCTATGACCTCCTACAGGTCCCCAGCCGTTACCAACACCTCTTCCCTCCCTGACCAGATATCCCTCCTCCTAGTGACAGGCCTGGCACTGGGGACCTGCCACACTTTGCCATAAACAGACACATTGTACCGGGAATTTTACCACCTACACAATCATCATTCTGTCATTTTATGTAACTTGCTGACAAAACCAATGACCCTTCAGGCTTTTACGCCCTTAATGCATGAGTCATAAAGGCAGGCATGAACTCCGCATGCTTCCCAGATGGACACTGTAATGTTCAAGTAGACACAAGACTGTAAAGACATTGGGTGAAGATAAATTCTGTGTTAGGAGTATGGCTGCAGAAGAGAGAGAGAGAGAGAGAGAGAGAGAGAGAGAGAGAGAGAGAGAGAGAGAGAGAGAGAGGTAACATAAAAACACTGTTCTTGAAAATATCTGGTCAGACAAAAACTTGACCAACGAAACGAGGTGTAAATTAACTAAACGGGAGGCCTTATAGGTAAAGCATCAATCCAGGTAATATTTTTGTAGCTCATCCCACGTCTTTTTCTTATCCACTCTGTATAACTTATCATCTAGAACAATATTTAGGAGGTAAAGTTAAAGGTTAATGAGTAATTCCCGACGAGATAGTAACAGGTGTATGCTAATCTCTTATAAGATATTCTACAATTCTCGTTATTCATTATTCATACATCATACACATCACATTATGTGTATATGTGTTTTGTATACATATCAATATACATACGTTATACGGTACCTTTATCATACGTGTTAACCCTTGACGTCCTCAGTTCTGAAGTTTTATTGTATTATAAATTGTGTTGCTTTTTTAGATATAGATTTTTTTGTAAAGTTTCACAAGTTTTGGTCTAATATAGAAATTAAGAGACTTTGAGTATAAAGCTTAAAATTCCTACCTGTTGAAGGAAAATTACGTGATTACATTATTATTATTATTATTATTATTATTATTATTATTATTATTGTTCACCTGGCCCCGGAAGTTTGGTGACGTCACTCTTCCACACAAGTATTCGTAATATTTTTCTCCAAGACTCTGATACAATGTTCATCATAAGTGTTTAATGAGTCTGATTTAAGGAGTATTTAGTATGATGGATTCGTATCGTCTAAGATAATCCATCAGCCATGTGGGACCCAGTATACTTCTTTCATCTGGTATTTTCCCTGGAAACAGATGAGATTGATAGAGATTACAATCCTTTATGATGACTATAAAGAAGTAACCTTGCCAGACCTACAATACGTGACAGGAGGCAATGTGTCAGAGATAACTCCACACCGTCATCAAACACTAGACCATTAGCTTATCGTCAACACCAGCTCAAATGTCAACCTTATTATGCAGTGTGTCTGGATATTATACAATCATTCCACTGTTTGGCCCCGATGTTGTGTGTAAGCTCCACGTGTTGGTGGGCCGTGAGAGGTCACTGAGTTTGTGAGATATATGGTTATTGGCTGAGTGTAATGTTTCACACTCGCGCATAATGTTAGTGTGTGTGTGTGTGTGTGTGATTAGTCGCCAGGTAGTGCTACGGTGATTAAACTTCAGGTGGGATCTGCTAACGGGAAAACCTTCAAGGGATACAAAGGCCAACCATCACATGAAGAGTGGCAACAGACACTCCTGTATCTGCTCCTCTTGTCACTGGACCATAATAATTTAATAACCCCATTATATAATTTTTTGGAGTTTGGTTGATTAAATTTATGACATAAGCTGAGGGTCAAGTCTTCAGGTGAGTACTGAGGTCCACCGAAACCTAATGATTAACAAACCTATCCTATCCTATCCTATCCTATCCTATCCTACCCTATCCTATCCTATCTTATGCTAACGTATCCTAACGTATCCATATCCCCCCACATAGGCACGGAGATGTTTATGCATATAGAATAATTGTAGTATATATGTCACCTCACGTCCGTTTAAAAATAATTAATTTCCAAGCCATCATTGAACACGTGTTGAAACGACGAAAGCTTGTCAAAGCTTACATAAAAAACAAAAGACTTTAAACATTCCCTTGACGACACAAGGGAGTGGAAGTGTCGTGACCTTGAACTCCTGTATAAAATACTTCAGAAATTTACTCAAGTTCACTAACAGTGTTGTCCTCCTGACCAAGAGGCACCCAGTTAGTCCTTCAGTTTGAGACTCTTCAGCACGATGGTAAGTTTAAAGGCGGACGAACGTATTACTCGTGTACCTGATGGCCACCACAAGTCGCTTTTGTTAACTGCCATTCACTTAAGTAAATACGTGATTTTTGCTCGCTCGATGTGTGTGTGTGTGTGTGTGTGTGTGTGTGTGTGTGTGTGTGTGTGTGTGTGTGTGTTTCTGTATATAATAACACATAATTTTGACTTATTTCTCACAAATATCAAGACGGGACAAATTTTTCATTCAACAGTGGTAGAAAGTAACGAAGTTGTTTCACCTGACAGAGAGTTACCATGCTGGTGGTGGTGGTGTTGGTTGAGATGGCGTCCCTAACAGGAGCCTCTGCCACGTATGAGCTGTACAGGCTCCCTCGCTCACCACACATGTTGGACTACGGCAGTAAGTTATAGCGAACACATACCTATTACCTTACTCCTACATTTTATTTACCAGATTTCTTGGATTCATACACGCCACAGAAGCCAAAAGTTTAACTGTAAAATAAAATACAAAAAATGGGAATATTTTTCTTTTTTCCTATATTGTTCATGAAGTGTTTTACTGAATGTCAAATATCACTTCCACGACTGTTAGTAAAATATTTAGTTTCGATAATTAACAACTCTGTGTATAATGAAGACGATGTCATCGGCCATTTGTTACAGCTTTTGCCGGCAAACAAAAGGGTAACGCACTGACCAGAGGTGACAGCTCCTCTGACACCCGGACTGGCATCTCCCACGCAGGTCAGACCCCACCTCTCTCTCTCACCTACATCACCTGATACAATTAATTAAATATCAACAAACAAATTAACTATTTGTATACTATTAAGTAAGTTTTAAAGTTATTTATAATTAATTAATATAGTATTGCCATTCAGTCTTAGTAAATAATAATAATAAGTATTTCTCTCATCCGTAACATTATCTACTCACAGTGGAGCTTTAATACCGTGTTAAAGTGACCTCTAATACCTTCCCAGACGTCATGGCAGCTCTAGCCAACAGCGGGTCACTGAGGGGAGGAACTACCTCTCGGAACAGGAAAGGAAACCAAGCTATGAGCCGTAAGTACTTGTTAGAGGAACACCTCCTGTATGGAACAGCCGTGTGTGTGTGTGTGTGTGTGTCTGTGTGTGTGTGTGTCTGTGTGTGTGTGTACAATCAATCAGTATAGCTCAACAAAGCCATCAGATGGTTTTTATTCCCAGTGTTGTCCTTTAGTTAGGCTGGGGGACTCAACGTGGAAAACTTTGGTTGACAACAATAAACATTACACTATACTTACGTTATTCAATAAATAACTACAATAATACAACATTTAATAGTTGGTAATATAACGAAGGTGATTTATATACACATTATCAGTCTTTGTGACATATTAATATAATTTTCTTTAGTGTAATTATATTTTTTTGCTATATATTTATTTTGTTATATTTCTTTCGTTTTCCATGGTCAGATTACTCGGGTGGCCTAGCCGGGAAGGGTGGGCTGTTCTCTGACACCCAGTCCCTCGCGTCTGACAAAGGAGGCGCCGCTCACTCAGGTAATTCACTCACTCACTCACTCACCCACTCACTCACTCACTCACCCTCCTGTATCTCATCTTTCTTTGTTGTCAGATGTTTCTCTAGGAATAAAAACAATTGTACAATGACGGAAGGAATTCTCTTTATTTTTCTCTGTATTATAAAGTGGAATTTTTTCTTGTTGTTCACCAGGTGTAAATTATATGACGGACAGGTAAGAGTTCAAGGGATTTTGGCTCCAGTTGTATCACATTCCTCTGCTTATGACACCGTGGACTTGATACGAGACAAAAGTATGTCTCAGCACGTGGTAGTCGATACTCCTGGTGCACTGACAAAATAGAAAGGAATATCCTAAGCTATGTGATGTCTCGGTACCTCAGCTTGGCTCACCAAAATATTGTTTGTTCCAGGCATGAAAGGCTTCCTCACCGGGGGAGGCGAAATCTCGGGGTCTTCGGGTTCTTCATCAGCTGGCAAAGGTAAGTGTACAGAGGTTCTTAAAGGGGAACATCTTCTGTACAGTAACTGAATGTCAACACACGATATACTACATGTGGAGAAACCTTTATCACACACACACACACACACACAGATCAGGGGCGGATCCAGGGGGTCCGGACCCCCCCCCCTTTTCATCAGAAAATTCCAATACTTTTTATTTAATACAGTATTGTACTCAGGTATTTTTCTTTAGTAAAAACAAATTACTATTGACCTCAGAATATCTCCTAATATCAAGTGCGCATGGCTTTAAAATGGCCTCAATATGTCCATGATATTGGTCTGATTTAAACAAAATAATAATCTGGGGAGGGGCTCCTCCACCCACAACTTCCCGGACCCCCCCTCTTGATATTCCTGGATCCGCCCCTGCATATACAGTATACGTATATATTAAGCTGGATATAATTAGTGTTCGGTTTGCTTGTATTAATGAGTGTGGGTGTTCTGGCAGGGAACACGGGCTCTCTCGGCAAGTAAGTGACGCCCAGGGTATACATCCAGCGAGATAGGTAAGTCATTCTTCCAATTGACTTAATACCTAACAGTAACATGGATAATATAGCACTTGCATTATGAGAAATTTCAGGTATGAATAATGGTCTGGCTATAATATTCTTGCAGTGCTTTAAAACAATTTACTTTTACGTTAAAATAATTTCTTTAATTCTTTTCTGTTCTTTTCAGCCGAGGTAGACTCCCAACTCCTAGACACTGAAGACTGCTAAACATGAGACTACACTCCGGCCGTCGCTCTCCTGCACAGCAAAACAGTATACTGGAACAGCGTCATGGATGTACAGTACATAAGCTCTCGCCTCCAAACTCAGCGATCGCTAGTACGAGTCCCTCAGCCAGCCACTCGACCCACCTGCAGAGTGTGTGTACCTAACTTAAGATAAATGAAATTGTAAGGAGGTAAGGCGGTAGAGTGTAATGCCTCCCGTGTACTATACCCACACAGCACCTTACTCCATCTCCATTTTCTAACTATCATAATATGTCTTACGAGTAACTGTGATCATAATCAAAATTGTTAATTATCACTGTACATATTGTGAAGGCGACGGAGGCCAAACGGACAAGATACTCGTTTTCTGTCACCATGAGACGTTGGTTCACGCCCGGGGTTACCACCAGTCGATTCAATTGTGACTTGGTACCTCTTTAGTGAAGTAGAGAGCCGGTCACAATGCCTTTCTTGTGCTGTATCCACACTGCCTCTAAGTGACTGCCAGACCTATGGGACCCACTACCACTCTCGTTTATCAAGATTCAACAATGAACACAGCTTCCTTCCCTCCACCACCACAACCACTGGATGGCTCACGGCTCTAGGGGTCACAACTTGAATTAAAATGTTTGTCACAACGTCTAAGATCAATAAACATTACTGCTATTATTTTTACTTTTATTATTACCGCTATTATTATTATTATTATTATTATTATTATTATTATTATTATTATTATTATTATTATTGCTGACGACACTAAAATAGGGCGTGTAATTAAAATCTGACGAGGACTCGGCAAAAAAGCCCGGAAGATCAAAACAAATGATCTGAAAATGTCAGATGAAATGTAATGTGGGCAAATGTAAAGTACTTAGTCTAGGACTCTAGGAGATGTAAACAGTGAAACTAGATATCAGACGAACAACGATGTTATAGAGAAACCCGACTGTGAGAAAGATTTAGGAGTAATGATAAGTAGGAATCTTAAACCAAGGCAACAATGTGTATTTGCTCGAAACAAGGCTAATAAAGTACTTGGGTTCATACAAAGGAGTGTTAGTTACAAGACTAGCGAGGTCATCCTAAAACTGTATCTTGCTCTTGTGAGACCACACCTGGATTACGCAGTTCATTTCTAGTCACCGTATTACAGAATGGATATAGCAGCCTTGCAAAGAAGTCAGAGGAGAATGACAAGACTAATCCCGGGCATTAGGAACCTTGAGTATAGAGACAGGTTAAAGCTTCTTAATTTGCACTCCCTCGAGAGACGTAGAGCGAGGGGCGACCTGATAGAGGTGTATAAGTGGAAGGCAGGGCTAAACAAAGGGGACATTACAAAGGTACTCAAACTATCCAACCAGGAGCGAACTCGTAACAAAGGTTTTAGATCGGACAAATTTAGATTTAGGCGCGAGATAGGTAAACATTGGTTTGGAAATAGAGTAGTGGATGAGTGGAACAAGTTACCAAACATCATCATTAACTCGAACACGCTGGGTCGCTTCAAACATAGGTTGGACGGATATGTGAGCTGCAGTTTCCTCCATTCTTATGTTCTTATGTTCTATAATTATTCCTTCAACACTTCAAATCATCTTATTTCTAACCTCAGCCGTGTGTGGTTAAGTCAACAGGCTTAAGAGCAATACATTTCTGATCTCACGCTGGGACATAATTTTCTCGGAATAAATTCTATTATCACAATTTCATCTCTACATCTGATTTTTTTTTACTACACATTAGTTAGAAATTAATTACCTGGTGTTAATACTGAGATACTTGTAATTAAATAAAAATTCTTCATCCGGGTTATTTTACAGGTGGAAGTGAGAGTTACTGACAATGTGTATAAAAGTATGTGTTAATCTTATATTTCTCTATATAAACTCTCGGATGAAATAGTGTAACTGGAAGACTTTTAATTGTTCTTTTTTATTTCCAAACTAAATAATTGTGATGAACTGTAACAACCTCCTGGACACATGGATATCCGGAGGGGTCAGGGAGTCAGGTCAAGGGTCAGGGAGTCAGATGTCAGGGGTCAGAGGTCGGGGAGTCAGGGAATCAGAGGTCAGAGGTTCAGGGTGTCGGAGGTCAGGGGTCAAAGGTCAGGGAGTCAAGGGTCATGAATCAGGTCAGGGTGTCAAGTCAGAGATCAGGAGTCAGGGATTCAGAGGTCATGGAGTCGGAGGTTAGAGAGTCGGAGATCAGGGGGTCGGGTCGGAGGTCAAAGGTCAGGGAATCAGGGGTCAGGGGTCTTGGTCAGAGGTCAGGGACCAGGAATTAGGTTAGGGTGTCAAATCAAGGGTCAGAGATCAGGGCTCAATGAGTCAGAGGTCAAGGAGTCAGAGGTCAAAGTTGGGGAATCAGAGGTAAAATGTCAGGGAGTCAGGAGGTCAGGAAATCAGAGGTCAGAGATTAGAGGCAAGGTCATACCGGATCACAGAGTAAAACAATTTAAGATTCACTGCCTAAACAGCTTTACTGATGGATATTTTCACTAACTGATTGCATCGTGTGTGTTTTAGATGGGGTAACGTCACTAGTGGAGTTCCCCAAGGCTCATTACTTGGGCCATTACTATTTATTATATACATAAACGACATAGATATAGGCGTAGACAGCAACATAAGTAAATTTGCTGATGACACTAAAATAGGGCGTGTAATTAAATCTGACGAGGACTCCGCAAAACTACAGGAAGATCTAAAAAAAAAATCGAATGGTCTGGTAAATGGCAGATGAAATTTATTGTGGACAAATGTAAAGCATTTAGTCTAGGAGAGGTAAACAGAGAAACCAGATACCAGATGAACAACATGGTTATAGAGAAATCCGACTGTGAGAATGATTATGCAGCTCAGTTTTGGTCACCGTACTACAGACTGGATATTGACACCCTAGAAAGAATTCAGAGGAGAATGACAAGACTAATCTCGGGCATTAGGAACCTTGAGGATAGACAGATTAAAGTATCTTAATTTGCACTTCCTCGAAGTGCATAAATGGAAGTCATGGTTAAACAAAGGTGATATAACAAAGGTACTTAAATTATCCAACCAGGAGCGAGCTCTTAGCAATGGTTTTAAATTAAACAAATTTAGATTTAGGCGCGTGATAGATAAACATTGGTTTGGAAATAGAGTAGTGGATGAATGGAACAAATTACCAAACATCATCATTAACTCGAATACGCTGGATAGCTTCAAACATAAGTTGGGTGGATATATGAGCGATAGGGGTTGGGTGTAAATGGGACTACCCAGTGTGGACCAATAGGCCCGCTGCAGTTTCCTCCATTCTTGTGTTCTTAGATTATTTTTTTTAATGTAATTTCTAGTAGGACTTGAGTTTTGGAGTATTAATTAAATTCCTTACTTTTAAAAAGAAGAAGAAACAAACAATCGACGAAAAAAACTGACATTACTTTTTCGCCGAAATTTGTACCAGTTTTGACTTTGTTTAAAATTCGAGTAAATGTTTTAAGTTATGACAACTAAAATATAGACGAATTTATTACATTTCCAAATTATTAAGGTAACACCGTCTGTCTTCCTTTTATTAACGTTGTCTTGTTCATAAGCTTTCAATATGTGGACAGAAGGTTTGTATCTGAGTAAGGTTCTTAGGCGACGAAATCACGAACAGAACATTTCATCACAATAATACACACCACATTAGTCAGGTCTGTCTCATTAAGCACTGCTTCTCCACAGACGTTGTCGGTAGGAGTCACGCAGCAAGTAACACACCTTCAGGTGATTTACGTTAATGAGGCAGCAGTGGGGCCTTGAAGGAGATATTTAAGCTGGAAAGATGGAAGATGGTGTCACACTTGTCAGGAGGAGAGAGTCCCGGTTACCACACGGTCCCACACTACCAAGACAACTTCAAGATGGTTAGTCCTACATACCTGCTTTGTTTTTCCTTCTTAGTATATATTGATTGATGTACTATAGCCAGTGGTCCCCATACAATATCAATCAATCATAATAAATTGGCTCATTAATAAATCATCGTTGTAAAAAATATAGACAATAATCTGCACAAAAATCAAATATAATGCAGACATTTGTTAATCTGGTGTGTGTGTGTGTGTGTGTCACAGAAGGTTATCATGTTGCTGGCGGTGTTGGTGGCGCTGACGGAGGCCAACCCGATGTTTGTATTGACCAGGCTGCCTCGGTCTGCCCTGCCCCCTGGAGCCATCCCCGCCGACGTGAGCGGTAAGTAACCACCACTCCAGAGTTCACAGGTCATATTAACTCACAGAGACCCACAACAACACCATCATCACCAACATCACCACCACCAACACCATCACCACCACCAACACCATCACCACCAACACCACCATCACCACCAACACCATCACCACCAACACCATCACCACCAACACCATCATCACCAACACCATCACCACGAACACCATCATCACCGATCGCCCATCATCACCAACACCATCACCACCAACACCAACACCACCAACACCACCATCACCACCAACACCATCACCACCAGCACCATCACCACCAACACCATCATCACCAACACCATCACCACCAACACCACATCTACCAACACCATCACCACCAACACCATCATCCTGCTTTCATCATCTAACACCATCACCTGCCCCATCACCACCAACACCATCATCACAGCACCATCCTGCCTCCCCACACCTGCTGCATCACCACCAACACCATCATCACCAACACCATCACCACCAACACCATCATCACCAACACCATCACCATAACACCATCACCACCAACACCATCATCACACCAACACCATCACCACCAACACCATCACCACCAACACCATCACCACCAACACCATCACCACCAACACCATCACCACCAACACCATCACCACCAACACCATCACCACCAACACCATCATCACCAACACCATCACCACCAACACCATCACCACCAACAATCACCCAACACCATCACCACCAACACCACCACCAACACCATCACCACCAACACCATCACCACCAACACCATCACCACCAACACCATCACCACCAACACCATCACCACCAAC